TAGTAAAGGTAATCACACCAACCAAAAATTCTGTGTTTCTAAAGATATTTAATAGTTTAGATTGAAATAACTTTGAATTATATTGGATAAGGAGAAAAACACAATTTTCTGTTTTCAGCTCCCTTATTTTCTTCTTTTTTTTTTTTTTGTTCTTTTTGAGACCGGCCGCACCACTCTCAGCCAGTGAGCGCTGTGAGCGCACCGGTCATCCCCATATAGGATCCGAACCCGCGGCGGGAGCGCTGCTGTGCTCCCAGTGCCGCACTCTCCCGAGTGCGCCACGGGCTCGGCCCTCAATTCTCTACTCTTAAGCTACATCTTTTGCCTTCAGATTTTAAAACTGCAACTTTAGAATTATTAAACTAGAATCTATGATCTGAGCTTTATTTTACATGATGGAAGGAGAAAGAAGACCTATGTTGAGGGCTGAAGAGCTTGGACTCAGTGTGGACTTGAGGAATTCCATTTTCCCTTGACTGTGGCCACAGAAAGAAGTGGAGTATCCATATGAATTTGGTCATATCCCTTTGTAATTTTTTTTATTTACATATAACCAAATTCTTTCTTGGTTGAAACTTATCTGTGGAGCAGTCTTTATTAAGACACAAATATGATGGTATTTAGTTTCTCTCTCATTTTGCATATGTATATTCACTTTGAAGAGAATTTATGTTAGAACCCATTGAGTGTACTATAATATTTTTCATTCCTCATCTTACTGCTGTTTCAGCAGTATTTGAAATAAACATGCTACTCCCTTGGCTCCAATAATACAGTATTCTGGGTTTTTTTTCCTGCCTCCCTGTTTGTCTTCTCTGATTGCATTGTAGGCTCATCTTTAACAAGAGACCACTATGTGGAATTGTTCGGGAGTTCCTTAAGACTTTTTAAGGTCCTCTCTGCTTTTCCCTATTTTTTTCCACTAGGAGCCATCTTCGACACATTTGGCTTCAGTTATCACCAATCAGCAGATAGCTCCAGATCTTACCTCTCATGAACCCCAGACTATGAGGGTACTTCAGAAAGTTTGTGGAAAAATAGAATTAAAAGAATATTAATCTTTCCATTAGCTTTTTGAAGTACCCTCGTTTATATCTAGCTGCCTATTTTGTGTCTCCTTTTGGTTGTCTTAGAACTAAATTCATTATCTCGTTTCTTCTTTCAGTGATCCCATTCAGTGACTGGCATACCAACTCATTTAGTTATGCAGGCCAGGAACAGAAGTTATCCTTGACACCTTTCTCCTCCACCTCTGCATATCTATCTATTTAATTACATGTTAGGTTTTGTGGATTTTATTTACTCATTATCTCTGGAGTCATGTAACCCAGGTTTAAATCCTAGTTGCTCCCTACTAGCTGCATGACTTTGACAAGTTACTAGATTTTTGTTTGTTTGTTTTTGTTTTTGTTTAGGCTAAATATTCTAGCTTCTTCAATAATTCACTCATTTGACACGGTTTTGTGTGTTATTAGTTTCTTTGTCAGGAGTATAACCCTCACTGTTTCAATGAAAGGAAAGCTGTTATTTGAAGCCTTAAAATTAAAAAGATGATTTTAAAGATGGTCAAATGGCATATGTCTGTTGGTATGTAATACAGTTTATGTCATTTAAATACAGTTGCAGCTGTGGTTGGATAATCCAAAGATTCAATTGACATTTGAGGCTACTCTCCAACAGTTAGAAGCACCTTATAACAGTAAGTAGTGTGTTCAATAGGACTAGTTTTGCACTGGATTGCAAAAATTGATATTTCCTTCCAGGAGCCTTGTGGTTCCTTGATAATTAATTTTTTCATTCATATTTTCATTTTATTCCACCTTGTGATATGCAAAAACCGGAAACTGTTTTCTACGTTTATTTGTTTTACTGGTCTTTAAATTGTGTTGACAGATGAGTTCAACAGATTGCTAAATATTTTCCTAGACCTGTTGTCCAACTTTGATCCGTGGAATACTTCGTTGGCACTTGATTGGCTGGCTATCTGGCTTTCTTATTTCCCACTTGCCACCTACAAAGTCTTCTGAAGTTTTTGCCAAAGTACATAAGTGTTATAAATACAAAGATTTGGTTTTGTCCTCCATTTCATCTATAATGAAATATCATTCTTAAAAATTCCAAATTATGTGATATGTATTTTGGACTGACTCATAGTTCTAAGAATCACTTTTCTAAAGGAGTCACATGACCTAAAGCTTATGGAAAAGATGTATAGAATGACTTCATGATGGAGAAATAGAATAGTTTTCTATTTAAACTGCTGAAAATATAAACATGTTTTTAAATTCCCTAATTCTGTAGGTGATACTGTGCTTGTCCACCGAGTTCACAGTTATTTAGAGCGTCATGGTCTTATCAACTTTGGCATCTATAAGAGGATAAAACCCCTACCAAGTAAGGACCTGCCTTGCCAATGAATTCATCGTTTTAAGTTATGATTCTAGACTGTTTTTATATAGATGCTGTTAGCCTTTTATTTTGATTTGTAAATCTGTATTTAGGTTCACAGTATTCCCAAGTTTATCTTCTTATATGTCAAATTTAAGATAAAATCTCTTAATAAATGTACATTTCCCTTATTTTCTGGTTTGATAAGTACTTTAGTAAAAGATAATGTATTTCTAGTTTTTTAAAAATGAGAATTAAAAGAATAAAATTTGTTAAAAATGAGAGAAGTCAGTTTTGCAATCAGGACGTTTGAGGTTTTTTTTTTTTTTCCCTCATTGAACAGTTCTTTATGCTGCTAATGGTGTTTTGTTTTGTTTTAAATAGTATTTGCCCCTTTTATAGTGTTTGGATAATGTCTGCCAGGGATCCAGGAGATAGGGATATTTTGAGAATTAATGCATTTATTTTTAATGCTTTAGTAATTCTTCAAAAAGGGGTACTAACTTAAGGCTACAGAAGTAAAAGTTAAAGGAAGTAACTTACACTCAGAATATGTCCTAGTATAATTGTGAGGTAAATGAAGCAGATTATTTATAACAAATTAACTAAAGATCACAGATATTGAAATACATGACTGAGGTAATGGGAAAGTAAATCTTAAGATATAATGGATTTGATTTATTAATGTTCAATGTCGAACTAAGATTTAAAAGTTTCAGATATTTGTTGATTTGTTTTCAGATAGTTTTTATATCTTGTTAACTTTGTAAGACATCATGGCATGTTAAGAGCTTAGAGGTTTTCATGAGAAAAAACTATAAACTCTTAAATCTACAACAAAATTTTCTAATTTTTGTTCATTTTTGCTTTTAGCTAAAAAGACAGGAAAGGTAATTATTATAGGCTCTGGGGTCTCAGGCTTGGCAGCAGCTCGACAATTACAAAGTTTTGGAATGGATGTCACACTTCTGGAAGCCAGGGTAAGAATTTTATTTTCAGTTTAGAAGCTGACCTAGTGGAAATATGGTAAGGAAATTACCTGTTGCAGATTACAGAATCATACAACTTGAACGAAGCCAAATTGATTTTGATAATACTTAAAGGTATCTTGGATAGTGTTATTGATATCGGATAAAGCATTTTGACAGTAAAGCTTTGAAAAGTGCTCAGTGAGTATTTAGAGTTTGTAAATGATCTATATATCCTTTTGCTGGATGTTTTCAGATCATTGTTTCTTGCAGTTAACTCTCAAATTTGAGACCTTCACAGACATATCCTTTGTAGAACGCAGTTTTCTGTGGTGGAACAGAGAGAATTGTACTCCCTGTTTGATAGTCAAGGAAAAGGAGTTGCTTCTCAGGCAGGCGCCATCTTTTAGGGCCTGATGAAAGTCAAGGTATTAGTTCCCTTATCAGTAGTCCCGGAAAGAGAAATAGAAACTGTCGGAGGAAAGGGATGATGGACATAGTGAGAAGAGGCATCACATTAGGATGCTACTATTCAAATTATTTTCGTGAATAATTTTTGAAATTTAATTATCTTCCAGTGGCTTAAAAGCCTCCCTGGACTCACACCATTTAAAACAAAACATTTCACGGGTAACCAATCTCAAATTTTATAAAAGCTTTCAAAATGTTATGTGCAATGCAATCCAAATTGCTTCTTATAAACTGCTAATTTTAAAATTTTTTCTTTTTAAATAGAGTATGGGAAAATTGAAATTAAATATTTTCCTGATGCAGTCTGTTACTAAAATCAGTATTTTATTTGCTAACTCAGAAAACATTTGTGTGTCCTTTGTGTACTATGTACTAAGGATACATTAAGGAATAATGGGATCATTATGGTCCCTACCCATGTGCAGTTTATAGTCTAGTGTATAGGTTTTTGTTTTATTTTGCCTTTTTGTTTGCTTGTTTGGAGTTTACAGAAAACTCTTACATCATTTATAATTATTAAATTATCACTACAGCTCAGTAAGGTTTCTCTCTATACTTGAAAATCCCTAGTCAGCAGAGATGAACCTGGGCCTATATAGGGACAAAGGTTATTATTAGCAGTTTATGTCCAATAGACTCATTGCCCCTGGGTATACAGCTGCAATGGAGAACCATTGTCAGAGAAATCTATCAGATTATTCACAGCTGTATTAGTCTGTTTCTGTTGCTTATAACAAATTACACCGAACTGGGTATTTTGTAAGAAAACGAAATTTATTGCTTACAGTTTCAGAGGCTGGAAGTCCAAAGTCCAGGGAACACATCTGGTGAAGGCTTTCTTTGGTGGTGACTTCAGTGATGGCAGGGTATCACATTGTGAAATGGCGGAGCAGAGATAGACTAACCTCCTCATGTGCTATCCTTTTAAAGCCTTCAGAACCATGCCCCTGACTACAATTATTAATCCATTTACTACAGCATGGTCCTACAATCAAGGTCCCATCTTTCAATTACCATAATAGGATTTCCCACCTTCAACAGTTAACAGTGGGGATTAAGCCTCAGTGAGTTTGGGGGGGCGGGGGGCCAATCTACAGCAACAGCTGACTTTGAGGAGTGGGGAGCAAGGGTCAGATCACAGTGGTAGAAAGTTGGTATTTAAATAGTGTTGGAATTTGTGAACAAATATTTTCTATAGGGGTGGCCTTTGTTCATCCTGTGCATTAAGAGGAATTATAGACTGCTGGTACCTGTGACTAAATATGTCTTCTGGCTGTCAGATTGTTTTATATCACATCAATTAATCTTGTAAGTCATTCCTTACCTGCCTCTCCCTCAAATAATTTTTGAGTTAAATTTCTTTTGCTCTTTGTGCCCACAGTACTGTTGATTGCACTCCTTATAATCTCTAAATGACACCTTTCTTTTTAAATTACAAAAGACAGAGTCCTGGTATGGTACTGTGCCGGGTTACAGTAGTTAAAGTAGAATTGATGATTTTGATCATTTAATTTCTGAAAAACAGGATCGTGTTGGTGGACGAGTTGCTACATTTCGCAAAGGAAACTACGTAGCTGATCTTGGAGCCATGGTAGTAACAGGTCTTGGTAAGTGGCTCTTAAATTTCATACTGCAATACATAGTTTGCTACTCATAAGATTGTTCATACTTACATTTTAAAGCCATAGATGCAGTTTTAAAATATATTGGTTTAAGGTACTGTTCTGTTAGTGAGAAGTAAATTGCTAGATAGTCCTCCTGAAAGGACATATCAGTATGTGCAAAATTTAGATTGTGCATATCTTTTAACCTAGGGTATCTTTTTCTAGTTCTAGGAAATTATCCTAACAGAATAGATTGCGTTTGGAGCATTTTTAATGTGGCATTGTTTATAACAGCAGAACATTAGAAACCACATATTAGAAGATTAAATTGTTATACAATGAGAACTAAACAGCCACTAAAAATTATGTAGCTCCATATTAACATTAAATTCTGTCCACAGTATATTGCTTTATTTATTTACTTATTTTTGGCAGCTGGCCAGTACAGGAGTCAAACCCTGGACCTTGGTGTTGTGTTATACAATATATTGTTTTCTGAGAAAAGATTATAAAACAGTTTATGTGTTGTGATCCTTTTGTGTGCATATGTCTGTAATTTTATGTGCTTAAAATGTGGAAGGATCTGTAATAAAATGTTAAGTCAGGATTATACAAAGGTACTTCAGAAAGTTCATGGAAAGATTCATATTATCTTTTAATTGTTTTTCCACAGTTTTTAATGTACCCTCGTAGGTAATTTTTTGCATTCTTATGCTTATCTTACATATACTGATATACTATGAACATTTTTTCTGAGATAATGATTCACATACTGTAAGTTTTGAGCATTTTTTATTTTGAGTAAAAATATTTTTACTTTGAGGTTTTTCTCTTTTCATAGGGATGTTGAATTTAATTGTTTTGAGTTTTTTCTAGGAGGGAATCCCATGGCTGTGGTCAGCAAACAAGTAAATATGGAACTGGCCAAGATCAAGCAAAAATGTCCGCTTTATGAAGCCAACGGACAAGCTGTAAGTCAAGGACAAATAGAACTTTTCAAAATTTATTTGGTTCAATAAAAATAATTTTGGGGGAATGTGTGGATGAACATATACATATATGTTTGATATATACATATATTCTTAACTCTGAGCTGTATAAGAAAGAGTTATTGTATATATGCAAATTTACATGTCTCTTTAGGCATTTATCTTTAGGCATTAATGAAGGCTAGTTAGAAAATCTCTTTATTTGCCTGTGGTTACTTACTCCAAGAGACCTATGGAATTGAAACCTGATTCTTCATTTCTTTGTATTGTGCCTCCCATCATGTGCTTTAGCTCCATGTGCTTTTTATGACTTCAGCTTTGTGTTTATAGGCTCAAGTTTTTGGTGGACTAATAGCCAAATGGAGGTACTTACCGAGATGCTTAGGTAGGTTACAGTATCTGTTGACCAGAAGCATAGGAACTTCCTATACTTAATATGATAGTAGCATGGAAGTGGTGATTAGTATGGGGGGAGTGAGAGTAGTTTATCCACTCTAAGGTAGACTTAGACTACATAAGTCAGCCCTAATTTTTTAGGGGTTGGTAAAATTCAAAAGTCTGTATTCAGCAGAAATTTTACCAACTCCCCTATCAGGATGAGAGTCCACACCTCTCAGGATATAAGCACATTATTATCTTCATATTTTGAGGAAGAGAAGATTTGTTATGTGTACAGTGCTTTAGCTATTTTACTAAAAGTGGTAGGATTTCAACTCTTGAATTTTGTGCAATAGGTCTCAAGGGACGTCCTCACCTATTCCTGTCTACTGTTAGGTTTTATGGGATTTATATCAGAGGACAGACTTCTAGGGAATGCTTTGGTTTTCATCCCCACCATCCTGGTCCACATTTCCTCTAGGGCTTGGGAATGGTTGTGTGGGCAGCTTCTGGCAGAATAAACAGAAGAGAATGTGAGAGAAAGGATGAAGTAGAAGTTAACTCAGCAATTCAGCAAACTTCTATTCTACAAAGATCTATAAAGGATATGGAAATGAATACAGTCCCTGCCACAGTCTAGTGGTACTTGTAAACAATTCTTTTTTTCCCACCGTTTAATTATGGAAATTTAAAAATATGCACAAGTTAGAAAGAATTCCTGTTTTTCCAGGCTTGTTTCTTTTCTTCCCCCCCCCCCCCCCCCCCCGCTTTTTAGTAGAAGATATGGCTCTACAGTCTTGTTCATCTATCCCATTTCTGCTTTTATTTTTTGGTTTGGAGTATTTTAAAGCAAATCATAAATGTATCTCCCATAAATATACCAGTAACACAAAGCTAAGGCAGAATTTGCCCAAGGTTACATAAAAGAACCAATTACTGTGAAAGAGTCAAGGGAGCAAGAGTGTGGAGAGGGGAGCAAAAGGCAGGGAGAGATTTGGAGGGAAAGAGCATTTGCGAAGGGCAGTTAGGACATCAACATGTGGTTGTAGAAGGAAGGGAAAGGCATTGGAGGCAGAGGAAGGTTTAAGTCTAAGCAGAGAGGTCTCTTAAAGGAGGATGGAATTATATTCATGAGGGTAGGAAGATAGTAAGCTGAAGTTTAGTATGGTGCCGTACCATGGAATCTGTTGCTTGCTCAGCCAATGTTTGGTTGAAACTTCAGAGGTTTGCAAGCACAGGAAGTGACATGATCAGATGGGTGTTTTAGGTAGACAGACAGTATAGTATAGAATTGAGTTGAGGAAGCAAGGCCCCAAAGTGGCTATTGTATTAGTCCTCAAGCAGTGACAGAGTCCACACTAAAGATTATCACTGCTCATTGATATACCATCTTCTTTAGACTTTCCTGAATATACAGCCAGGTCCATTTAGTCTATCTAATAGTGAGAACTTTTTTCTAGTAGAGATATCCAGAGAAATTGGCTGCTTTCTTGGCATTAGATGAGCTTTAACACATTTTTTTTTTGTCTTTTTTTTTTTTTCGTGTCCGGCAACGGATCGCAACCCTCAGTGTCGCGCCCGTACCGGACCGGGACCGGCAACGGGATCGCAACCCTCGGTGTTGCTCCCGCACCTCGCTCAGCCAGTGAGCGGCCGGTCTGTATGTGGGATCCGAACCCTCGGCGGGAGCGCCGCCTGGGAAGCGTGGTGGTGCTCCCGCCGAGGGTTCGGATCCCACATACAGACCGGTTCCCGCTCACTGGCTGAGCGAGGTGCGGGCGCGACACCGAGGGTTGTGATCCCGTTGCCGGTCCCGGTCCGGTACGGGCGCGACACTGAGGGTTGCGATCCGTTGCCGGTCACGAAAAAAGACAAAAAGGAAAAAAAAAAAATTTATGCTTATAATTACAAATATGTTTCATGGCTTTAGAAAATCTAAAGGGGTAAGTAGGCCAGTAGTTTCATTCCCGCATTGTAGAAGAATGTTTGCCTCAGGTTACTATAGGTTAGTACGTTGCCTGGTGTTCTGGCTAAAATCCTCATACTTGTTTTGTTACATCTGGCTGGTATTTCAGAGAAGATGGGGGTGGGGTGTGTGTGTGTGCAACTCTTTCTAACTGCCCCTTAGATTATGGCAACTGAGTCTTCTCAAAAAGCTTTCTTTTTATAGTTACTTTAGGTACAGCAAGGCCCACCTTGAGTAGAAATTCACTCAGCCATTGATTTATTTTTTTTTTTCACTTTAGTAAATTGTTGGATGAAATGGGGTTGTGTTTTTCTATTCTTTGTGGACAGCCTCTGTCGGAAAGAGGGTAATTTAGGGCTGACCAGTTAGCTCAGTTGGTTAGACCGTGGTGTTATAACACCAAGGTCAAGGGTTCGGATCCCCATACCAACCAGCTATCAAAAAAAAAAAAAAAAAAGAGGTTAATTTGATGCTTTTATTGTTGGTACACAGAAATTAATTCTGTCATCCTGTAAAAGGTCAGCAGTTACTCTGAATTATAAATATCACTTGTAATATTGTCTTAAGGACATATCTCCATACCCAGTCATTTTGCTGCTGTAGGGAAAAAAAAATTACATAGCAAGTGGTTTTTGTTTCGTTAGTTTATTATTATTTTAATCACAATCACAAGAATCACTGAAGGAGTTTATCTCTCTTCTCTCTAGCCCAAAATTTTGCAGCTAGAATGTTGAACATCTATATTTGTTTTTGTTTTGTTTTGTTTTTTACAGTTTAATGTATTTTAATAGCAAGCTTACAGGAACAGCACAGAAGACAGACAACATTAAATAAAAACATGTACTTGCATGTAGGACAACTCAGAAAAGTATAGTGAATGGATGGAACCTACTGTATGATAAAAATGCTACAAACACCATTTAGTTGCCGTCAGTAAGAAATTTACTTGTTTTAAAAAAATGCAAATGCTGGCATTGTCCAGAGAAAATTTAACAGGTTTATTTATAATTGTTATAAAGTTGAACTGCTGAAACTTGTTCACTGAAACATTTTGACTTGCATTAATGCTTTACGTCCCCGCATTTATATTAAAAATTCACACACAAATGAAAATGGAAAAACTGCCAATACCTGATTTCTGTCCCCTATTTTTCCACTTGCAACCATATACTTAGGTACCTTTTGACCCCATGGGAAAAAAAAATCTGACGTTCAGAACTACCAATAACAGGAAGAAGAGAATTTTTTTTATAATGAAATGTTTCCCGTCATAGTGGATTCTTAAACACGTTCTCCATGTATGCGATGTGCTAGCTAGATGTCTTTTGGCATAATTGTTACACGTTTGGCATGGTTAGCACACAGGTCGGTGTCTTTGAAAAGGCCAACCAGATAGGCCTCACTTACCTCCTGCAAAGCACCAATAGCTGCTCTCTGGAAGCACAGATCTGTTTTGAAGTCCTGAGCAATTTCTCACACCAGACACTGAAAGGAGAGTTTGGAAATCAGAAGTTCAATGGCCTTCTGATAACATCTAATTTCACGGAGTGCCACAGTACCAGCCCTGTAATGATGAGGTTTCTTCACCCCTCCACTCTTGCAAGTGGCTTTTTGTTGTTGTTGTTTTTGACCAGTAAGGGGATTGCAACCCTCGTCATGCTGTGGTCCTCACCACTCTCAGCCAGTGAGTGCACCAGCCATCCCCATATAGGATCCGAACCCGCGACCTCTGCACTACCAGCGCTGCACTCTCCTGAGAGAGCCACGGGGCCAGTCCTGCGAGCGGCTTTTGTAGCTAGTTGTTTCCTGGGTGCTTTACCACCGGTCGATTTGCGGGCAGTCAGCTTTGTGCAAGCCGTGGTATAGAGACCTCCTTACTTACCCACTTCTCGAGCTGGAGCTCGGCAAGCGAGAGGCGATGCTGTCGTTAGAGAGCGGCGGCTGTGAACCTCTGTATTTGTTTTTGACAGGGGAAGTTTATTTTGTGGCTCTCTGGTTGACTAGAACAAGGGTTTCCCTGTTAAGGGTATTATGGAATATAACATAGAGATATAAAATAATATAGGAATATTAAGGATATCCCTATTAATAGAGATCTTCCGTAACTTAAGCCTAGAAGAACAATCAGAGCTAATATAGCAGCTGCCCTCAGATTGACCAGTAATGGAGTTTACTCTGACCTTGCTGTAATCAGCTTTAACTGGACATGGAGATGGTTGGAAATAGGGTAATTCATATTTCAGGAGCGTTTTGGGAGTCACCAGTGAGGGGGCTGAAAACAGATTAGTGGGGGATATGGAAGAAACGGCTCTGAATGTTTTCTGCATCTCCTGTACACCAGCTAGTAACTCGGAGGTTTTAGATTTCTTTTTCTTTTCTTTTTTTTTTTTTTTTTTTTT